GAGCAGATCAACGCAACGGTTAGTAGTACGACGTTAAACTTTATTCCAACACAAAGGGTACACAAGGATCGAATTTTAACCACTTAATCAGGATAATTAATGACCAATCACTTAGAAACGTGATCTCGCGAGAGTTATGATGACAGACATGTGACCCTATTCACACGAGACTTTACGGATACGTGACATAAACAACGGCTAGTACGTTGTCTGAAATTACTTTTAATCTTTACGTATATTTCAAGGTATGATGGAATATAGGATTTCATCCAGTGCTACAATGATGATGATCTAAACATAGCTATTTTTGTTTACCTCTCGTACAGAACATCAGCCTTGAGCGCGACATCAAGACTAAACGGGAGGAGATCCGTAAGAGGTTGGAAGAGTACCGCATCACCATCGCAGACCTGAACGGAGAGGCACAGAGGGTAAGACATGTCTTAAACCTCCAAACATCTCAAGGCTTGAGTTGCAGATAAGGGGCAGGAAAATGATGCTATAGTCAACAATTTTTTAGTGGGGATTGTTGTTCATAATCGTCAAAATGTTGTGCAGACGCGGTATATATAACAAGCCAAGAACAATGGCCTGTTCAAAGATATTTTTCTTTCCATAAACCTGATGATGTGTACCTAGGTGGCAGTTATCATGCCTGATGATGCCTTTGGTACAAATGTACATGGAAAGGTTCTGATGTTATTCCTCTGTTGTTGTCCTTAGATTGACGGAGAGATCCAGTCCGTAGTCGCCCAGTACAACGACCTGCTGAACAAGAAGCTGGCCTTGGAGAAGGAGGTCTTCGACTACGAAAGTCTCGTCGGAAGCGAGAACCAAAGGTAATGAAAATGTTCTCATCTTTCCAAACTTTCCTTTCTCAAGTTCTTACAGGAAGGCAACAACGTAACGCAGTCAGTCTAGCGTTAATGGCGTTTGTCTGTGCATTCTTTCTTTTAGAATGTATTACCCAGTTATGCATGAAAATGCAGCCAGTGATCTTACTAGTTTATATATCATTACAACTCAGGATTTGCTCCATTTCTGCATGCCGATTATGCTTGGCTTGGATAGTGCAATGAAAATGAGGGAATAGACTATAACTCGCAAAATCCAGCCTGGAGAAACTTTCAGATCAGAAGAGGGTATCCGCCATCTTCTTTTCAGCTCTGACCTGTTAGTCAAAGGTCACACTGGTCACATGACTGGATGAGGGTGCTGTAGGGATATGGGGTTGTAGTGTAATGATGCTAATTGCTTTGCTGTTTGTTGCTCTCTTTTAGGCTCCAGGTCCAAGGAGGAGGCTACGCCATCCAGCAGATCTCCATCGGCTCCGGAAGCAGCAGCGGAGGCCTGGGAGGCGGCTTC